CACACACACACACACACACACACACACACACACACACATACACACACTAAGCCTACATGTAGAAAGCCACAAACACATTTTCAGCAAAAAGACAGGATATATGAATCACACACAACAGCCGTCTGCTTGCATCGCTCTGTGCACTCAGAAAAGTGCAGAGGTGAAAATGACGCAGTTTGAAACATTCACTCCCAAACTTACTGCAAATCATAACGACACCATTTATTTAAAAAGACCACTGTGCACAGTTTATACTGACACATACACAAATACATACAAATACAAACGCGCATGTCAATTCAAACAATGCGGATAGTTAACTTTCTAGTAAAATTCAGTTAACTACAGCAGACAGCAGTCATAAGAAGGTGAGCAAACTTACAAAATAAAAAACGTAAATGACAAATCCTTTGCTTTTTGCAACATGTACACCAAAGGCTGTTCGCACAATGACATAATCTGCAGTGACATTCTTTTTGTAGTTTGTCCAGAAAGAAGGAGCCTTCTAGATTGAAAATTGAATACTATGTTGTGTGAAAAGGTTTCTGCAGTGGCAGTGAAGCCACTCTTACATAATGTATACGTGATGGTAAAATTCACAATGTGCAAGTTTTCTTGTAGTCAGCAAAACATTTTTGAGGTTTAAAAAATGTTAAAGTTTGATATTTTATAGTTTGATATTTTAAAGGCACTTCTGCACTGCGGAGCCAATGCAGAGGTGCTTTGAGCCTGCAGTTTTACCTAATTGCCAACAGGGGGCGACTCTTTTGATTTAAAAAAGAAGTTTGGTTCTACAGCGATGTAAAAGAAAACAACCCTTTCACTCCCTTGTCCTCAGAAGAAACTTTTTTTCTGATAAAACGTATCACAAGACACATGACCATAACATGATGCTTAGTTTGTAAAACATGGACCCCATTTGATTCAAACAGGGTGATAAAGCAGGGTATGCTTTAGGGCGTGGCTCTCGGTTTCTCAGTATGAGCCACACCTTGCACATGATGCCTGGTTTCAAAAAGCTACACTCAAAAAATCCCATTCAAGCCCAAAACGATTAAGATACTTCAATTTTTGTGAGTTTTTGAGACCGCCATCATCAGTTTCTTTTTTATACAAAAATGCCAACTGTAATATGCAAACTGATATATATTGTTTTGCAGTTACCACTGTAGTTTGAAAAAAATGAGAATTTTCTGGCAATTATTTCATCATTCAGGCTTTACTGGGCTGTGAGGGCCAAGAATATTTGTTTTGAGTATATAGTCTGTAGAAACTTTAGAAACCAGTTGGTTACATCATCTTTTATATGCAGTCTGACAGATTTTGCTTAACCTGCTTAACCTGGCAAAACATTTGTAGAAAGCCTCAAATGTTAAGAGGCAAAAAAAACCTACCTAAAACCTACCTAAGCTATTCTAAGCCAAGCTAAACTGAGCTAACCAGCTGCTGGTCTCAGCTCTGTATTCAACATACAAATGCCAACAGCAGTGAAGCTAAAAAACGGTAAACGTGAAAATAAGAGTATTTCCCAAAATGTAAAACTGTTTCTAGGATGTAAATATGGAATAAGTAGCAAAGAGTAACAACTACTAGCAATATTCTATATAATGTTGCATTAAACAGAAATGTCAATGTGTACACTTTGACAATTTCTTTGTATTTAACATATAACTTACTCAAGTATAATGAAAAATTAAGAAAATAAAAAAAATTATAGTCTGATTGTTCATCTCACATCTTTCAGAAGTCTGTTTCCTCATGTAGACTCACTTTCTGATCTAAGAGGATCTGAAGTCTACGCAATATTTGTTATATACATACAAATATTACAATATCTATATATATAATTCTTTGGCAGGTCAAGTTTCAGCGTCACATTATCAGATAGATTTATAGTTTGAGACGAGCTTTTAAAAAGATGAAGAAAAAGATTAAAAATTATTTCCATATACTAAGCTCAAGTTTTTTCATTCTTTTGGTGCTTTTGGAGTTTTCTTCCTGGGCTGAGGAAGAGGAGGAGGCTGCTCTTCGCCGCCGTTACCACCTGGAGCGGAAACCTGAAGGAGAGTGAATATTGGTGTATCAGACCTAAATTATGTATTTCCACATGACTCACTGTTACTGTTTTCAATTTTCATTCTAAGCAGTCAGAATAAAAGCAAAAATAAATCATTTTTGGTCTAAAAAACTTCTGTGTCATCTGCTTCTGTGTCCTACCTGCGTAGCCCGTCTGGGGCTGGGCTGAGGTTGGCCGTTGGCGGGCTCAGGCGCTCTGGGACGCTGCTGGGTGCGTGGCTGTTTAGAGCGATGTTGTCGGGGGCCGGTGTTGCCTGCCGGCTGCTGCTGATGGTGGTGGGGGTGATGATGCTGATCAGAATTATTTTGATTTGGATGTTGATGATGCTGATGATGATGCTGATGATGATGATGTTGTTGTTCCTGATTGCCCCACTGCAAGCGAAGCTCCCTCTCATCTGTTAAAGCAAATATAGGTGACAGGTCAGACCTGTTGATGCCTGACAATATTTTCACGGACCGGCCTTTAAGGTGTCGCGGAAAAATACAACAAAATAAAACTGTTACCGGTACTGGAAAAAAAAGTTATTCATAACACACGTGAAAAGACCCAGGAAAACCGAGTTAACGATAAAAACGATAACAAAATAACGCTGAAAACCAATAAAAACCCTGAAAACCAGAATTTCACACCTGAGCCTCAATTCTCGCGGCCCGGTACCAAACGACTCACGGACCGGTACCGGTCCGAGGCCCGGGGGTTGGGGACCGCTGGGTTAGACAACATCCTCTCCTCCCCAACCTGCTCGATGGACTTCAGCGGACAGTCCAGGACAGAGCTGGCACTCCTGACCAGTTTGTTAAGTTTTTCTCTGTTCCTCTCTGCCACCACTCCTGCAGACCACTGCATAGAAAATAGCAGATGCCACCACAGTGTCATAAAATGTCCTAAGGAGAGTCCTGTTCACCCCAAAATATCTCAGCCGCCGTAGCAGGTGGAGACAACTTAGACCTTTTTTTTTTTAGAGTGCATTTGTGTTTGTGGACTAGTCCAGTTTGTCATTGAGGTGAACACCCAGGTATTTGTACTCCTCCACCGTTTTAATGTCCAAACCCTAAACTATGAGGACAGCTGTTGGTCCACTCCCGCTCCCTGCATCTTCTCCCTTAGCACTGAGGGTTTGATTGTATTGAAGGCACTGGAGAAATCAAAACGCATGACTCTCACAGTGCACCTGGCGCTCTCCAGATGAGAGAAGGCCCGATGCAACAGGTAGGTGACGGCATCATCCACCCTAATGTTCGGCTGGTAGCCAAATTTCAGCGGATCTATATCTCTCCCGACTAGTGGGCGAAGGTGAAGTATGATCCTCTCCATGGTCTTGCAACAGGTCTGAAGCATCATCAGTCAGGAAGAGCCACCAATAACCTCTGAATCCCAGAACTTCCAGGTGTATTTAGTGTCAGTTGATTTAATGCTAATGTCTTGGAAGGCATTAGCATTAATGTCCCATTATTGGATAATCTTGTTTAAAGACCCAGCCCGTAAAAGCTGGTTTAGAGTCTGACAGATGGAGCACATTGTAAATGAAAAAGTGGAAAGTCAGCCACCACAGAAAACCATGGCGATAACAGGATGTATTATATGAGTGTTTCTCCAGAACGACATGTCACAAACTGAGTGCATCGCTGTATTCAGTTTGTGACATGATAAGTGGCACAAACTGTTTTGGAACAGCAACAAAAAAAGAGAACTGAGAGTTTTAACTATATATTTACTCACTTCTGAATAGCTCAACAGATAGTGAGCTCTGTGAGACACATGTCACATAAAAACCTGACTCAAACTCCACCTAGTGTAAAAAAATAAGCTTAACCAGCTTAAGCTGCAGGTGACTCTTGTTTGGAGTCAGAATTGATTGGATTGGATGATTGAAGTCTGAAGAAACAAGACATATTTGCAATTTATTCAGTTGTTCATTTAACAAACACTGGCCTCATTAGCCTCAGTAGCATGTAGAAGAAGCATACAGAGCCACAACAGCCTGGCACCTGCTCCTCATACTGGTCACCAGCTCGCTCATACACTGCTGTGGCATTCTATCCTATTCCTCAACCAAATGTGGATGTGTTAATCACCTGAGCACAGGACTAGAGGCAAGCCATTTCATCCTCTCCCCTCCCAAACACTGGAGTTATTCTCTGATAAACTGCGCTCTGTGCGGGTGAGCACTGTCATCTTGGAGGAAAGAGTCTGGTCCCAGACATCAGAAATAAAAGATTGCCACTACTGAAGAATCGTATCTCAATATCTCTCTGCACTGGAGCTGAGGCCGTCACACAACAGTCACTGAGGCAGTCACACAACATCACGGAAACTGTTGCCCTATTGGTGCAGCAATCAGCGTACCATTCTCTGTGTCTTCTCCACACCTTAACCCTGCGATTCAAGTGCTGTCGGAAAACTCTCAACTGACATACATAATGTCCCTGCACATGTTTAGGCTCTAGTGCACATATGCTCAGACACCAACTGGCCTTTGTAGCAGTGTCCACAGGTGCTGACAGTCAAGTGCCTGAGTACCGGCATCAGCAAAAAGACAAAAGGTCAAAACAAGTCAGTAGCAGAACAAGCTGTTTGGCACAGACATGGAAGATTTGGCAAGTTATGTAAATGAATAAGTAATTGAAAAAAATGGAGATTTGTTTGGCCCAGTAAAAATATAAGTCATTTAAATGTAAATAATATATGAATAATATATATTATGTATTATGATATTTTGTGAGCACAGCAGCTTATATTTTAAATAAGCACATTCTTACCCTTTAGTCGCAAACGCCTCTTCCGTTTGGTCCGGATGCAACAAATGATGACAATTAGGATCAGCACCAGAACAATACCTGATGGTGAGTAATAACAGCAAATTGCATTAGATGTAAGAGTGAAAAAACAGAAGCGTTCTTATGCATTTTCACACCATAGCCCCAAATATGATGTCAAGATTTTAAGCAGAAGACAAACCTTACCTGCTCCACCACCCACAAAAACCCAGATGCTAATTCCAAATAGTGTGTCAGGAAAAGGAAAAGCTTTAAAATAAAAGGAGAAGAAAAGTATCTTGTTAGCATATGAGCTCAATAAAATGACCACTTCAGTTCACGAACATGGAAAAAGGCACATTTGAACATTTGTACCCTTGATAACACATAATACGTACAGGACTTGCAGTCTTGTTGAACAGGCTGACTGGTCTCAGAGTTGACGCGGTTAGAAACATTGCAAAAGAAACGAGCATTCAGCACGTCTTTGACTGGTCTTGTCAGGTCCTTGCCAGTCTCTTTTTCTACGGGTTTATTATCCATAAACCATTTGATCAGAACATTATTTTCACTCTGTAGACGAACAGACGATTAGTTAGTGGATTAGTGGAAAGTTCAGACTTTAGGTCTAACAAGTTCAACCTCACCCAAATGAGAAACATAATAATCTTTTCATACATTTTCAGTAATTTCCAAGCTTATATAATTAAATAATACATACATAGAAACACAACTTCCTGAAACAACATCTCTGAGTAAATGCTTGTAGACGGCACACTTCAAATCATGCTTGGTTTCAGTGGAGGAGAAATGAAGCTTATGCCCACATATTCTTCAACATCTTAATTATCAGTCAGTTATTTGTAGAGTACAACAATAAATAATGTCCTCACCTGACCAACATTGCAAGTAAAAGTGACTTTTGTCTTATCACGTGTACATGTCCTCGTCACTGTGGGCTTCTGCACAGGATCTGAGTACAGAAAATGTGATTATATCAACATTATATAAACTACTGCTTTTCTACAATAACAAGTACTGTTGATTGATAAAACTGAACAGTGACTTTATAATAAAACCAAAGACTTTACTCTTAATTATAGTATCTGACTAAAACAGCTTCTGATGGATCAGCACAGTTGCTTGTTGTGATATAAGTAGTACAAACACAATGAATATATGTATAATGTGTTGTTACTTACCTAATACACACAAACGCACACTTGGTAAATTTTCCCCCACATTTATTCCCTCTGTGTTGTGAACTTCTGGTTTATATCGTCCTGACTTGTCTTTGGTCAGTTTTGTCAGCTTTAGTGATCCAGTTGAATCAACAGCATCATTTTTCCCTATGGTCACGTGTTTCTGTCTGCGATAAAAGATTATTCTTGTGTCCTTGATCCATTTCAGGTTATCTGATTCCTTCAACTCATATGTAAGGGGCAAAGTAAAGGTTGATCCTGTTGCAGCGTACACACAATCATCCTGAGAGCCTTTGAAACAGAAAGGAAAGTGAAGAAAGACAAAAAATAGATGAAAAAAACAAACTAGTCATGTTACAAAAGCTGTGAACAATTATATATCAGAGCTGAGGTAAATTATGATTCTGTTAACATAAGGACAAGTTTATGATTTTACTAGTTTTAAACTAACAAAAATCAAAAATTCATTACATCTACAGATCCATCAAAACTAGTTGTCATGACATCATGACTGTAACTAATTAAACTATTAAGCATTAACGGTGTGGTTAGTAGTTCATTTCGAACTAACACCATCTCCTGTGCATTTGTCAGGAACTACGATGGACCGCTCTTAAATTTAATGATGGGTTTTGATCAAGTTTCATTAGTTTTTTTCCCACCACTCTCTCAACCAGTTTACAGCAAAGACTTCTGTACTGTTAATGCTCAATCCCCCTGGAACTGGAATGTAGTTGCTTCTCTGCAAAGATGTCTACAATGCCTTGCTTGAGTTGGTACAGAGCTTGTTAACACATTTTCTGACTTCCTGTATGTCCCAGTTTTTCTGAGTGACTTCTTTTTGTGAGCTTCTACTCATGAACGTACAAAATCAGTCAAATGTCATTCAGATACAATGTATAAGTTGTAAAGTCACCAGAATACAGCTGGTATTTCAGTATAAAGTTAGCACATAATGTCAGTAAGAAGTTACGTATTGTTGGTTTCGACTGATTGAGCTGACAAACGTCTGTAACATTATATTCTGTGGGCGTCCTGCACACATCACTTTACTCCATCACTGAGGCTGGATGATGGTTACATTTCATCCTGTTGTCTCTCTTCAGACCACAGTGTGCAGCAATGGCATCCTCATCTAAACATGCTCTGAAGGTGAAAGGTTTGCCATCAATATATTTTATTTGTAAATGTTTAAAGAGGTGACTGGAATCTATCAGAGATCACGAGGTGCTGAGCAGACAAAATACACGAACATGTAAAAACAGTTCTCAGTAAAATAGGTTTTGCAATCAGTGAACAACTTTGACACAGTTTCAATTTCTGTGAAGGGAACCACAGGAAATGAGTGGTTATATAAGTCATGTTCTCATGAAGCACAACATTAATATTTTCCAGGATGATTATAAAAAATTAGCTTCTAGCCAAACCTCGTTTTGAGTCACTAGTCGTGGCTGCGTGAGTCTTTTCTCAGAGGAGGACACAAAGTGGCTCATTAGAAATTACCCTAAACCTTTGTTATTGCAAATGAAAAAAATAAATAATATTTCAGCCAAACCACTGTTTTCTTTCACTTTAAACAAAAGTGTTTTTTTGCTCTAAATCAGAAAACCACAAGTTAGACTCAGTAATGTGAACCTTTGAATACCTTCCACTTCCTGTCAACTACAAGAGCTCATCACCAGAAATGTAGTTTTTTCTTTTATGTGTACTTAAGAAAACATTTAAAAAAGGACATAAGGACTAACAACAGACAGCACTACACTGTAATAAGATCAGACATAGCTGTTAACATGCTGAAATCATCAAAACCTCTCACAGTGAACCAAGAAGAAGTGAAATGATGTAACTCATGAATCCTGCAGAAGAGCAGAGGAGCAACAGCTTCCACCTACGAGAATACATGTTAACTGAAATAAACTGTGATATAAAGCATTGGATTCAAATTTGACAATGAACTGCAATCACAAGCATTTTTATGGCAGTAACATGAGTAGAATGAGTCACTTGGTCTCTAAAGAAGCTGTTTCCTCTACAAAAATTCACAGAATTGTTCCGTATTGACGGGTGAAGTCGCTTTTGCAGTTCATAACCCCGTTTCAAACTGTCATGCTGACAAACAATAGAGGAATGTGTGAAGGCTGCATATAACAGACACCAACGCCATCATTACGCCTCCGCAGAAGGTGACATTTAAAAAACAGCAACGATAAGATGCACAGTGTGTTCAACAGAAATGACTTTTTTTGTAATTCGCCTCCTGTTGAGCGTTTATCAGATCTATTCACATAAACATGAAATGATTTAAACGTAAACGGCTCAAAGGAAAGAGGGGGAACAGAAGGGAATCTTTATGGTTGAATTACATCAGAAACAACTTTCATTAGTTTGTTTTGTGACCATAAATTAAGAATTACAATATTTGATGGACGTAAACTAAAATTTAAAATTCTATGTTTTTATCGTTCTTATAACCCATTAGTTCATATATATTGATATAAAAATTCATAAATGCAGTTTCACATAAAATTCAGTTTATTAAAACATTTTTGAGTGTAATTTTTTTTGCTCTTTTCATGACTTTAATTCTTCATCCTTTCCATTGTTCAGCTGTCATAGCTCCTTTTCTGCACTGAGCGCTCGCTGCTTCTATGGGTCACCTCTACTTTTGCACCTTTGCGTCGCTTCCTGTTCATCCCCATCTCAGACCAAAGTTACCACATCAGCAGCGATGGGTTTCGTCTGCAGAACGTTCTGGACTGTTTCTTTTGTCTAACATTGATGTATTTATGGCCGAGGTTTTCAGTTCACCCCCAAAAATCAAAGACATGCCTCTTTTTTTGAATGTGCATGAAAGCACAACCTAAAAGGAAAGTAAGCTTGAAGCAAATATAGAAAAAGAAAAGCAGAGTCAAGTTTTTAAAAAATAATAATAATGAAAATAAAACAAACCCTGCACACCCAAAACCTCAGCAGGAACTAAACCTTCACCCTCGCTCATGTCAGCCGCCCTACCCCACAGTATTACTACAGGTCATTTGTTAGTTCCTCTTTAGTTTTATTGAGTTTTTCCTCAATAAAATAATCATATTTAAAGGACTGGTAAAATATTTTGGATTGTTTAGTTTACTACAAATAAAAAAAGTAGTTTTAATGGTTTTTCCATATTATTTACAGTCACAAAATAGATTTCCACTGAGAGACTCAAACAGAAACACAGAAATATAGACTTTTACTGCATTCTGTGGGTATTTTTAAAGGATAAGTATCTTTGTAGCGCCCATGGCTGAGAGGTTCAATTGAGTATTTCCTTGACAAAAAAAAAATGGTATAAATGTAAACCAATAAGTTTGGATTTTAACAATAAAAACCTCAACCTGACAGAATAAACAGATTAATTGAAACATACCTGTGGAGGAAACGAAGCAGCAGCAGAGCAGAAACGCAGCGATGCTGACAGCAGAAGCCATCTTCTTCACTGTTCTCATCACATTCAGCTAAAAAGAACAGCCTCTTTCCATTATCGAGGTTATTTCCTGTCAGAGCGCAGTAACATCACATATTTTATGTGTGTGTGTGCCACCGTACACGCACGTGTGTGCGCATATATGGTTTTGAAAGGAAGTGATCCAAGAGGCCTCATCTGCTGTCACAGATAAAGAACAAAGCAAGCCAAGCAAATGTCACACTTAGAAGACAGAGTGCATCTTTTTTTAGTTTGAGTTCAGCAGTATAAATATATCTGTGATCTCCTATTAGAGATGTTCAAAAGGTAACCAGAAGTTCAAACACCAAACTGCTAAAATCTGGGTAGCAGGTGAAATTGTAAAACTTAAAACAAAAGCAAGTGAGAAATATAAAAGCTCATAAAACCATGAGTGAGTATGTAATATGACAGTTAAAGTTATGTAAGAACACATTATATCTGCATTTGTTTCCAGTTAAACACCTGCAGTTAAAAGGTTGAAACTGTAATCATGTGGAGGCTTAAAGCTCTTACCTCTGAGGGTTTGCCACGGTCAAAGGTCAGACAGCCGCCGTCACTGCACACGTTTTACCTGCAGATACTCCTGCACGTACACGTAAATGAGAGCTGTGCATTTGTGTTTGCACAAGTCCATGTTGCCTTTGCACCACTGCCCTGTCCCCGGGAAAAGTTCAAGATGCTGAATTGATTAATCTTTGTAGAGGTGAGACACTTTCCCCCTCATAATGTGAAGTCCCTGTTGGATTTTAATAAGACTTTAAAATGTAAATCTTCTTGTTGTCCACTTTTTGGAAGCTAACATCAAATTTGAGGGTTTTTTTAGTGATAGGAAAAAACAACCATCCACCATCATACAATATATGTTTATTTTTACTCCAGACTGTGGGTAAGGCTTCAAAAATACTTCTTCCTACGTTTCCCATGATGCCATGGAACTCAATGACCGCTTTTGTTTTACCATCTCTGCCGATTCCTATAAGAGATGAAGGTAGCAGCTAAAATCTTATTATTATTTATTATTAATCTCATTTGCATGTGCAGTCCCTTTGCAGGTTACATGCAAAAGATCACAAAAGTGCCACATAAAAAGTAAATCACAACCCCCCCTGCACGTCCATTTAGCTACTCTGTCATAAAAACACAAAATGCTAATGTGTTAAAGAAAGTATAGATTTTAGTAGACTTATGTTCTTAAATATACTGTTCTTCTTAGACACCATGCCCAAGTTCCAGTCTCCCATCACACTAGAACTCTACGGGGTGCGAAGCAACATCTCCGTCTCACTCGGACTTTTACATTTGAAGCTGCTGAGTAAAGAACATATCGCACATGCAGGTGTCTATGGGCGAAGATGTGTGCATGAATTTGACAGGAGAGAAAATACACGAGGCTTTATGTGCCAGTTTAAAGATGGTCATTTTGTCATTTCCAGCCTCTTTTTTTGGACAATTACATTATTAAATCTTTTATGGATTTAAGACACAAAAAAGCTCTTTCAGACCACTGACTGTGTGTAACGCGTGAGTCCTACCTGTAGATGTCTGATTAAAAAAGAAAGTCTAAGAGTGCAACTAAAGCTCACTTCTCACATGTGGTTTGACGCCTCAGTGCAGGTCCTGGACGTAAATGAAACAGGAGGAAACTCTTTGTATCATTTTCTGTAAAACACTCTGGTCCAGACTAAACTCTTCTGTTGGGTGTCATATCATTCAGCAATGCTAAACTTCTTTTGGTTTTGGTTTTAGTACCTAAATCTTGTTCCTTTTTCTGTCTCTGTTTGCATACAGATACACAAAAACAAAAACTTCTGGTTTGTACACATTATGAAGGAAAAGGTTTATAATCTTTTAACGTTACACACATCACACGACCTGTCAAAGCCATCGTTTCCAGTGGTTCGTTCCACTCAAGCTTGTTGAAGCCAACAATGTGTTGAAACAGCTTAGATTTCTTAGATTTCACAGACTTTGGTGTGATGAGGAAAAAGAGAGCTTTCATACAAAAAAGCGGAGACCAAAACTCTTCAAGGATATTTTTATTTTTTCTGTGATGATCAAACTACAGCGGTCAACTGATGACTTCTGGTGTAGCTATTATTGCAAATGAGTCACTGACACCAAGGAAATGACACCAACATTAGTGCCTGACACCCAGCAGGGACTTATTTTATTTGATCTATCTGCTTGATTATTTACCAAACTAACACACATTCACATTATGTGACTCCAGCATGGTGGGCCACCGACCATAAACACCTACACGAATGGAGATGTCGTTAAAAACCAAAAAAAAAACAACCCACAAATGAGGAGGTAACAGCACGTCACGGAAAAAATGGGCATTTACTTAATTTATGTCAGATGTCAAACTTTTTCCGGCGTGGAAAGCATTACTTTCCCCGTTTTCAGTATCACACATCAGAAAAGCCCTCAGAATTTCTTACTCGCTGATCTAATAGAAAAGGTGCCAACTGACCGTGCTGAGGTCACTGCGACTGTTTCAATCTTGTTTAATTAAATTTCTTTTTTAAAAAGCAACAGGACACCTGCTCCACTGTGTTACTGTTAATGTATGTAAAAAATATGAGTTCAGCTTTGACGATGAAAGGAAAACACTCACAGAACAGCATTTGTTTCCTGCTCATACAGTCGCTGCAGACTCAACACTTCATTTAATAGATATAAAAACAAACATATTTGCTTGTTGTCCACAGGGTGGCACCATTATATTACAGATTAGGGCTGGGTATTGTCACTGATTTCTAGAATCGATTCAGTTCCGATTCACAAGGTCCCGAATCGATTCGATCCACGATTCGATTTAATTTGATTTGAATCTGGGAAATTTTGACAGTCAGAAATATTATAATTCAGATCAGTACATTTACATATTTTTGTATCTATAAAAAGGAAGCTGACACACGCAAGACTTTATCAAAGGTGTGAGCATCACAGCAGAGGCCTTTGTGTCAAAGTAGCTGAGGATAAAACACAGAAAAACATGAAGGCGATTTTCCTGGCCTAGATTTTATAAAAATATTCTGCAAAACATCAAAAACGAAAGAAAACCATTAATCAGCATATGAACATTACCTCTGAAGTTACAGCGGTTTTATTAGAGACACGGCGTTTTGCATTTTGCATAATTTTAAAAAGTTTACATTTGTTCAGTATTGAACAGCAGAAATTAGGTTTTCTTTTCGGAAGTAGGCTATATAAGACGAAAAAAAAAACGTAGGCTGACAGCGCTGTAAACAACGGTAGACTTGTGCCTAACAAGCAAGCGAATAATGAAGTACAGCGAGAGAGGGAGAGAGCTGTGCATCGTGGTGGAAGCAAAACAGTAAAAGTCAGAGTGAATTCATGACAATGTTTATGTGAAGCTTAGTTTGGATCTTCTTTTGCTGCTGGTTCGGTCAATATTGTTTGGAGAGACATCAAACTAACAGCTTTAGAATCAGCACATAAAGGGCGTAAACACAAAGCGCCGACAGATCAGAATCAGCGAGCTGTCGGCTTTCAGCCCCGACCGTGAGAAAGGCGACATCTAACTGATTCTGATCCGCAGGTCACGATGTGTGTTTAAGTCTGTGTGCAGAATCCGTGTTCCTGCTCTCATTTACTGTTTTAGCTGTTTGGTGGTTGTTGAAAGTTTGTGATCTTTCACCAGAGATTCTGGCATTTCGGGCAAAATAAATTTATATTGAAAAAAATCAATTCAGGATTTTAATGAATCGATTTTATGTTATCCAAGCCAGAATCGATTTTAATCGATAAATCGATTTTAAAAACCCACCCCTATAACAGATGCATGTAGTACAAAAACTGCTACAAACAGGAAGTATTATATCTATCGATCGATCGATCGATCGATAGATAGATTGATAGATAGATGTTTCTCAACACTTTAGATCATTTTAGTGTAATATGTAGTCTGCTGGTCCACCCTCTTGAATTGTATGGGGTCTGTGATAGACAGTCTGTCTTAAAACTAAAGAACATTTAAACTGCATGACGTAGGCCTTTAGTTAGGCCCTTTTAGTGGTTTCAATCATAACATTTTACAATTCACATAACACTTCGAGTGTGAGGTTTAACAGTGCATGGAGTCATGACTTTTGATCTGCCTAAACACTTCTTTGACACTTGGGACTCGAATATATGAGCATATACATTTGGTCTGACTGATTACACGGGGACTTGTGATGCATCAGCACACTTTATTTTTGTAAATATATTAAGAACATTATAAAAATTGATGAAAAACATGGTCATATACATATCAGTATAACATATTTAAAACATTCAGCTGATAAGTTAATATGGTGAAAAGTTTCCAAGTGAATAGTCTTATTAATTTTATTTTTGGTGAGGCATAAAGACGAATACTAAGAGAAATATTCATATTCACATGACCACAATAAATCTATTCTGCTCTTAGTTTAACCAAAACACACACTTCTGTTCTTAATTTTTAATCCTTAATTCTTTTCTACAGCTCTGTATTCACTGAAAACCACAATGATGTAGTTTAGTCAAGTAATTTTTCCTCAGACTTGTTATCTTTAAAGATCCTTTTAGACGCACCATGCCATCATCCCAGGGAGGGAATCGTGTTTTTTCTTTGAGAAAAAAATATTTTTATCATTTTGCTTTAATTTCAAGGTTAATTTCTTGTCCAGCATGTGGTTCAAACATGAAAATCTCCAAATCAGAACAAAGAAAAATGCACAACAGATACTAATAAAATCCTGAATTGTCGCTCTCATTAACAATATACAGCACGAACCTGCCTAGCAAAAAAGACTGAAGCTTATTTCCTCCAAAATGAAAGACCTAAACAAAAGCATTAACACATATAGCATAAACAATATTTCTTTGTGAAGGTCTGCTTACAAAACTACACATCAGGAGATGTTGTAATAAAATACATTAGTTTTACATATCACTGACAATCATAATAAGGTTTGCATTTCTGATCTAATCACTGAATGATCGTTAAATGACCCACTTATTTAGGGTTAAATTCCTGTAATCTATAATTTTCTTTGTACATTCACAATGAACCTGACAAACATCAAAATGAAACTCTGTAGGCGTCCTGCAAACACCACGTCACCTCAGCACTCAGATTGAATGGTGTTTATATCGTATCCTGTTTCCTGTTGTCTGTCTTCAGACCACAGGCTGCATAGAAGTATGGCTCTGGGACTCTGCTGAACATGCTGTTGTTTATAGTGGTTTTGTTAAGTGGTTCTGCTGAAGGTGATGCTGTTGCTGTTCTTGATTCGTCCACTGCAAACAAAGGTCTCTGACCTGCCATCTGTTGAAATAAGCATAGGCGGCAGGTCAGACCTGCAGAATCATCTTTCAGTGTTTTTAACAAGAAAAGAGCAAAACCTGCCACTGCTAAGGCTATGTAAGAATATGGATTTGACGGGCCCGTGTCAGCTTAGAAACAATAATAAATATAAAGAATCTGATTTCCTTTGCAGCCATACTACAAAGAATGAACAATGTTGTGCCGTGCTGGAGAATTTAGCTCATCAATCAGAGCTGGCAATGGCCCCTGGATCCCAGAACTGAAGAATCGCAACGCTCCAAGTGTATTTAATGTTAACTAATGTAATGCTAATGTAATTAAAAATGACTCTGGTGCACTATTATTTGTTAATCTTGTTTTAAGACCATCATTATTTCAGCATGTTGCCAGTAAGCATTGTTTGTCAGATCTGGTTTAAGAACCATGCAGTCCAGCTACAGCAGGAATGAGACAGCAGCTAAGAGACGAGATGTCATTTAAATGTAGGGATAACAGCATAGTTTTACAGAAGAAGCCGTCGCACTCGCAGTGATGTTGTTCAAATGAGTGTCACAGCTTCCCCATATTTAAACAAAGTAACAAATGTAAGCAAATGGCATAAAATTAGAAACCCAACTTTGTTGTTTGTTTATTTAATGATGTAAAATTATTATTATTATTATTATAGTTTAATGTCAAAGTGAATAATACACCCAAAAATGAATCAAGCTGGCTTACTAACAAGAAAGTATACCAACTCATCGTGCCAGAACAATCCAGCAACTTCTCAATTAAAAAATGAAGCTATGATTACCTTACATCTTATGATCAGCTGCAATTGTTTAGAGTAGCTACACAGCATTTACTTTATGTGTTA